CATTTTAAAAATCAGCCCAAAAGATAAATATTCCAATTGAAAAATAGGGCAATCAGATAAATAAACAACTTACTTTTTAAAAAACCTGCAACCAGAAAACACACATGAGAATATTGGGCTTCTCTCACAACTGCAGGGCTGAAACCTGGGTGGAAGGCACAGCTCCCTCCTGGCTGGATGGGGGCCAAGGGGGGTGCTGCAGCAGAGGGATCTGTCTGCTGAGAAAGAGAAGGGATCCGTGCAGGGAGAGAGAAGGGATCTGTGCAGGGGGAGAGAAGGGATCTGTGCAGGAAGAGAGAAGGGATCTGCGCAGGGGGAGAGAAGGGATCTGTGCACAGACAGGAGCGCTGCTCTGGTGGGTAGCAGAGCCGAGAGCTCAAGCTCTGTTGCAAGGCTGAGGGTCTGTGCTGAGGCCTTGCTCCTGGCTTCCTCAGCTCCTCCACGGGCAGCTGCTTCTGGCCTTATGGCCGTGGATGAGCCACTGGCGTCCAGAGCCTGGGGTAGAATCTGCTCAATGACATGGTGGCCTCTGCTTCACCTCCCAATCCCGAGGTCTGGGCTGCCTGGGCCCCCAGGGCAGAGCAGGTGCACCCCGAGGTCTTAGTCTGCCTTCCGCTTAGGACAGATGCCACCTCGGCCTGGGAACATGACAGCCACAGTGCCGGGGGCTCTCCCTCAACAGCTGTGCTGAAGCATATCAGCGAGCAACAGACTGGACACATTTGAGGTGTGGGCTTTGACACTCCGAGCAAGAGTGGACAACCCCTCACCCCCAGAGTGTGCTTGTGACCCCTTTCGCCTGCCCAGTCAAGGCAGCTGAGGGTCTGCTTTCTGCCCCGACATTGGTTTGCAATTCTAGGATTTCCTGTGAACGTGGTACACCAAAGACACTGTGCCTCCTTTCCCTCAGCACTGGTGTTTTGTGACGTTCTTCTATGTAATTGTGTGTTTTGAGAGGGCATTCTTTTTCACTGCTGTCTAGTGTTCCTTTTCATTGCTGAGTAGTATTTCATTGTGAAATGTACAAGACCACAGTGTACTTATCCACTTGCCTGTCGATGGACAGGAGCGCTGTTTGTGGTTTGCAGCTATCACAAAAACAGCTGCTTGAACATTCATACACAAGTCTTGGTATGGGTACATCTTTCCTTTATCCTCAGTAACCACCTAAGAGCAGAATGGCGAGGCCATTACTCTTATCAAATGGCTTTTGGACAAGAGGGGAGTAACAGCTTGGATGTACTCTGCTGCCCGATTCCACCAAAGTGGGGAAAGGCAGGGAAAATGTAAGAAACAAAGGTAATGGAGGCCCTGGCCCTCATGTGCAGTGCTGGGGAAGAGGGCTGGGACAGTGGCAGGAGAAGCCCTGGTGGGGTGGCCATCGCCAGGCTTCGGGGTCCCAGCTCCGTTGTGGGAGTAGCACCCTGCCATCTGGGCGTCTGTCTGCTGCCTCGTCCGACAAGCAGCCGGGCGGCCCAGGAACGGGGCTGTGACCCAGAGCTAGGACAGTGAGTCCTGGGACACCACGCCTCCCACAGTCCACAAGGTACACCCACGAGCCTGGCGTCCAGGGGTGACAATGACAAATCCAGGGCCCACTGTCAAGAGGAGAATCCACGGATGGGGATGACCCTGGCTCCCCCGCAGAGGGGCGGGTACCAACATGAGGTACCAACCTCCTCACCCGCTTCTACTTGTCACAGAGTACGTGGTGGAGAGGGAGGCGTGGGGACCAGAGGGGACTCGGCATGCGGGAGACTGGCGGGAGGGGAGAGGAAGTAAAAAGGATCCAGATGAAATATGTTGACCGATGAATAAAGAAGACGTGGATCTCTTATACCACAGAGTTCTGCTCTGCCGTAAAGAAGGATGAGCCTGAGACATCTCTAGCTGAATGGATGCGCCTGGAGACCACACTCGAGTGAAAGGAATCAGGCACGTGTGTTTGAATACCGTATTATGTCTAGGGTGTGAGAATCCAAAAGGGGAACTGAGGACTAAAATGTAACATAGACATTGGGAAATGGGGAGAAAATGTTCGATTTGTACATGTGCCAATTCCCCGCCACAATCACATTTGTTATGCGTTGCAAACACATACTAATAAAAATGTTAAAAGACTGAATACTGTTATAGAATGACAATTCAAACTCTAAACTGGTAACCTGACGTTCTCGAGAAGAAAACTGCCACGTGTGAGGAAGGGCGCGCTGTCCCGGACCTGGGGGAGGGTGAGGCACTGTGGGATAAGCCAGAGAGCTGAGGACAGGGCCACCTGAAGTTCCTGCGATGAAGCAAAAGGGAGGGAGAGGCACTCATTTCAGCAAGGCACTGAGGCCAAGGGGAGGCTCACAGGTCTGAGGGACCTGTAGTCGATGCCAACAGAAACGCGGGGAAGGCGTGAGAAAACGTACTTGAGCTGGGCAGAGGGGGCGCACCCCCTCCACTCAGGAGGAGGAGGCTGAGGCAGGAGGATCGCTGTGAGTTCAAGAAAAGCCTGGGCTACATAGCTCCAGGTCAGTCTCAACTACATAGTGAGACCCTGTCTCAAAAAACAAAATAAAACAAAACGAAAAACACCAACAACATCAACAACAAAGCAAAAAAGAAAGCAGGTAGCAGCCTTGAACAACACCATCAGCCGCTACTCACTGCTTGACGTTCGCAGAGCATGGGTCCTTCTTGGGGCAAACCAGACCCCACCAAGGCCCCTACGGCCGCAGAGTCTTCCCAGGGCCGAAGCCATGAGAAGGACATTTGCTGAGCACAGGAACTGCATACCCCGTTCTCAACAGCGGAGTCGGAGGAGGGATCAAAAGGGAATCAGAAAGCCTTCCACGGTGGAGGAAAAGAAAAACGCCATCAAAGCCGCTGAAGCAGCACGAGACATGAGGGCGCAGGACATGGAGAACTGTACAAGAGAACCAGTGAGACCCAGTGTAAGCAGAAGAAAGCAAACGGTGAAGATCAAAGCAGAGATCAGCACAATGGACAATGAAAACAACAGAAAGTGAAACCAAGGGCTGCCCCTCCCCCACCCCAGGGTCAGAGAATCCACAGAGCTGTAGTGCAAACCACTAGGGAAAAGGGAATAATCACCCGGACTGAGGACAGCAGGGCACCTGGCTGCACAGTCCAGACCCAGGAACGGTGAGTGGAAGATGATCCTTTCCCTGAGTTCGAGGAGACGGCAGAACTCAAAGACAGATACTGTGCAGGGTACACTAGGAAATAGATGTGCTTAAGAGCTCTGTCTTTATTAAGCTAACCCGTTACAGTCAGAGAACAGGGCCAGGGCTGTGGCTCCGTGGCACAGTGCATGCCCAGCAGGGCCAGGCCCTGGGTTCAAACCTCAGCAGCACACAACAGAATGAACCCAGGGCTGAAACCACACGTCAGCTCAAGGCTATGCCGCGTAACAAATTGCCCTCCTGTCCCCAGAGATCTCGAGTTCTGAGGGAACCACTCAGAAGTGACTGCCAGGGCTGGGAAGGCCCAGAGCACCCAGAAAGTGAGTACTGCTGGCTTCGAAGCAGGCACCCACTATTCCAGGGCCAGGGCCCTGGGGAGGCACAAAGGTAGCACCCATACTTCATCGCTGGACTCCCTCCTGGGCTACGGTCAGCAGCCTGGGCCCGGGGCCAGTGCCAAGGAGCAACGGGAGGTCTGGGTGACTCCAGCCACGTGTTTAAGAGTGTGGGCCACAGGCTGAGGCTGGGGAGGGGTCTCTAGGATGGGGTCAGAGGCTTCCTCTCCGGAGGGGAGTCACAGGGTTGTCCTAAGATCTTCGGTGGGCATAGTTTACAGAGGGAGCCACAGATCAAGGGAGGAACTCACTTGACCTTGGAATACAGATGAATGCGTGGACGTGCTAGGTGACATGCTAGACATCATGGCCCACTGAGGTTACCACAACCCAGGTATGGTGACGCACATCTGTAATCCCCACACTCTGGGAGGCTGAGGCAGGAGGATCTCAAGCTCAAGTCCACCCTGGGTAGTTTAGCAACTTAGCAAGATCCTATCTTAAAGAACAAACATGGCTGAGGGTGTAGCTCAGTGCAAAGGTTTACTCCCTGGTAACAACAACAACAACAACAACAACAACAAAATCAGTCTACAGTTTAGTGAAGATAAAGAAATTATATTCCCTAAATAATGAGGCAACTTCTGAGCTCTCTCTGACCTAAGATTTGCCAACTTCCCTTGTGCTGAGGGCTGGAACAGAGAAGGGCAAGCTGCTATGCGGTCATGGACCTCTGACAGCCAGGGGACTTAGTCTCACAATAATTTGAATTTCTCCGCGGACAGCAGCGCCCTCCTGCCAGCTCGAGTTCACTTTCGCCTTGGGTCAGACCTTCTTTGAACTCAAAGCGCTCAACACAAGCCCTTTTATTTCAGAAAGACTTTTGCCCAAAGAACAAACAGGAAGGGCGCCAGCTGCTAACTAGCTTGTTACGCTGTAACAAGATCAGGACTCTTTGTTCTGGGACAAGCTCAGGTCTTTGCAAATGTGTTCTTTCCTGGCTTTAAGTCAATTAAGTAATTTATCTGGTCTAAAGCTAGTCAAATACCGGCTCCACACCCTCTCCAGCACCAGAAACATTTCTAGTCGTTTTTTTTCCAGGCCCCTCAGCAAAACAGGACCCAGGAGAAGGGATGGGGAGCCTGCGGACACTGAGGGGTCTCCTGCGCTTCCTCAGTGCGCAAACCGGCTGTGTGTCCTGGGCGGCTTCTTCCGGTCACGGGTGGAAGTCAGACCCCAAGGGCTGTATGTACAAGGAGCGGGTGGGCGACCTGCTGAGCAGCTTCTGGGTCGGAGGGGCTGAGCCGGAAGCACAGAGCCTGCAGAGCTCTGGGGCAGCTTTCAGCCCTGGTTGTTTCTAATTGCAGCCAAGCTTGGACAGTGCCTCTCTTTGCTGCCACAGCTCCACAGAAGTATTGGGTTACTGAAGTAGAGTCCTCAGATGCTAAGGAGTGCAGCATTTTGGAGAGAGAGAAAGAGAGAGAGAGAGAGAGAGAGAGAGAGAGAGAGTGTGTGTGTGTGTGTGTGTGTGCGCGGAGCTGGAGACTGAACCACACTAAGCTCCATCCCCATTGCCCCTTTATTTTAAATTTTGAGAGAGCGGCTAAGTCACCCAGGCTGGGCTCCAAATAGCGATCCTCCAGGCTCAGCCTCCCAGAGTGCGGGACTCCAGGATGCAGCGCCACGTGTGGCTGAAACCAGCATTTCTGAGTTCCAAGCAGGAGCAGACCAGGCTCTGCTCTCCCTGGTGTGGGCTCTGGTCTGGTGGAAAGTGGGTGCAGGTGTGGCTGGGCCCACAGTGAGGCTGGAGCCTCAGTAGTGGGACCTGGGTGATTCGGGGTCTGCTTAGCAGCTTCTCCCAGGGCTCCTGTGCCTTCGAGCTGCAGGACGCCCACCCATAGGAGGCAGTCGGGGAAGGAACAGACAGTTTTCCTGGGTGTCTGTAGCAGCTCTTGTCTCAGCACACATTTCTGACTGGAGTCATTCTCTTCTTGCCTGCTGGAAAAACCATTGATACCTTGCACCCATCTTTAAGTTAGTATCATTTCAAGGCATGCCAGTTTTTAATGTTGGAACAGTTTTAAATTACTACTGTTATCATTATTATTAATGTTTGCAGTGCTAGGGATCAAACCCAGGGCCTCCTGTGTGCTCAGCAAGTGCTATGCCACTGAGCTACCTCCTGAGACCCTGGATTGTTTTTAACTCAATTTTCGACTTTGATTTCCATGCAGCTGTAAGAAATAATAAAGAAAAATCGTGTGTACCTTTTATCCACTTTCCTTCAATAGTACCGTGAATCTACTCTTGGTTTCTATAATTTTGTCAGTTCAAGTCCAGCCTGAACTGCACAGCAAGACGCTGTCTGGAAGAATCCAAAAGAAAAAAAATGGCTACTTTAAATGGAAGAGAGAATCCCTCTCTGAGTACTGCCTGATCCTTTCCAAGGACGGAAATCTCCGGAGATCTGCAGTGCTTTGCACTAACACATACCTCACATGCTCAGGGAGCAGCCCCCCGGAGGAAGGGCTGCACAGAGTGAAAAAGGAAGTGGGAACTACTTTGAGTCTTTCATTCTACTTCTCTCAGATTCGTGGGCTTTCTCAAAACATCACAGTGAATGAAAAAACGAAGTAACACGTGTTTTCAGACCTCTACAGTTGCGTAAGCAGATTGGGGACAGGTTGAATTTCGCCCTCTTCCAAAGAAGAGAGCGAGGCCCTGGGCCTGAACGTGCGACTTGATTTTGCAGGTCACCAGATTAAGATAAGGTCCTTGCAGTGGTCATCGTCCAACACGTCCGGGAGGCATGGACACCAGGAAAGGATTAGAATTAAGCTGCCCCAAACCGAGCACCGCAGGCTGGGAGACAGCTGGGATCAGGTCCTGTCCCATCAGCCTGCGCCGTGAGTGGCCCGGGCCGCCAACTTTGACCTGGACTTCAAGCCCGGGACGGGAGGGAAGCAATGCAGTCTGTCGTGCTGCAGTGCTGGGCAGCGCTGGACCTGCGATCTGGGAAATGACTGCTGCATCGGGAATACCCAAGCGGAAATGGCAGCGTGCTCTAGAGGAAGCCGCCCTGTCCGCTTGTTCTTGTGAACCCAGCACTCCGGGGCCCGCTCCAGTGCAAGGAGTCTGCCTGCATGGGGACGGAAGCCCTGGTTGCATCCACTGAGCCTTTGTTGGCTTTGTTGCATTTGTGGCTGGCAGGAGGGATGAATCAGTGGTGCCTGTGAATCTCGCTGTGCAGACTTAGAGTAGCCTAGAGAAAGAAGGTTCTAGAGATGATAGAAGTTTCTAGAGACAGAAGGAACCTCTCGAGAGCCATCTGCCTCAGCCTTCCTGTCAGGGCTTTGAGTCGTGTCTGTTCTAATATACTCAATACTTGTAAAAGATACCTAAACCACTCTTTCCAGTTGAATGTTTTTCTCCTGATGTCTATCCAGGAAAAAAACTCCAAGATATATTTGGAAATATGGAAAATCTTAAGAAAAAACAACAAGGACCATTAGAAGTGGTCATTTCTCCCAACTTGGACTGCACTATTTTGTCATCTCTGAGTAATATAACAGCTCCCTTAAGAAAGCTTTTCACTGGGAAAGAATTTCAAGCTCACAGAAATTTTTAACAGAGCTCTCGCAGATTTCGCCAGTGTCGTCCATCCATCTTCTGCCCCGTTCGGTGGATGATCTACCCCTTTCGAGCCCTCCACGTCACCCAGAATCCCTTTATTAAAGGAAGACACAGCAGAGGTGACCGGTGGCAGTGGGAGCCGGGCGGGGAGCAGGGCCGGCACGCACATCCCAGGTGTGGCCCCGTCCTGGGGTCTTGGGACACCCGGAAGCCCGGAGCACCCTGAGCCCTTCCCCGGCAGACTCGCTGCCACCCTACGATTCCGTCCTCGCCCTCCTTTCTGCCTGTGGGGCAGGCCCGGGCTCCCTGCAAGGGCTCCAGCTCAGCTCAGCGGATTTGGATGCCTGGCACCATCAGGCAGAAAACACTCGGAGTCACTGAAGCCGGACCCGTCGGGAAGCCTGATGTAACCACCAACACCATCGGTCACCAGGGGAGGCCCCGCCTGTCCCTTTGGCAGCCAGGTGGCTGTGGCGGGTGCAAAGCCACGGCATTTGGAAAGCCAAGCATTCCGGGCCGCCTTCAAACTGCCCCACACCCTGGCACCGGGAAGGAAATGAAAGGAAATTTGCCCCCTGGAGCACTTCCTGGGTCCCGGTTAACAGCAGTTGGCAGAGTTCAAGTTCACAACCCAAAGCTGAAAGCAGAGGCCTTGGACGAGGCACACTGGGTACAGGGACCCTGGGTGTGGGCACTGGCCAGGCCAGGCAGGCACTGTCTAGCTGAGCTGCACCCCAGCCCACAAAGGACCTGTGATCCCAGAGCTCAGAGCTCTCCGCCTGCCATCCTGGTAGTTCCTGCCTGTGTGTCTGTACTCACTAGAGAAAATACAGAAGAAAAGTCACAGAGCGGAAACCCTCCTGCTCTCTTTACTCCGCCTTATGATGTGGCACTGAGGATTTGTGGCACTGAGGATTGGACTAATTTAGGTCTGCTTACTGAGCTAAGTCCCAGCCTTCTCCATATTGGTGTTTTTTTTTTTTTTTTTTTTTTTTTTGTACCGGGGTTCGAACTTGGGTCCTTGTGCTTGTGAGGCAGGCAGCGGAATCACTGAGCTAAATCCCTGGCCTTCCAAATTGTTTTTGAGACATGGTCTAACTTTTGATCCTCCTGCCTCAGCCTCCTAGTGCTGAGCCCCCACGCGCATGGTGTGTCTGCCCTGCAGGCCCGATGCAGAGGCTTGGACAGCTTCGGCAGGGAGGGGCCCTGTGGTGAGAGGCAGCCAGAGGCGGGCACTTCTGGCCCGGGCCAATGGAGGGCGCTGTCAGGTGAGGGGGTGGAGGCCCTGGCATTCTGCAGCCTGGAGTCATTCGCAGGCCTAGGGAGCAGTGATGCGGGCAGGCGGTCACAGAGGCCCGGGCCCCAGCCCCACGGTGTATACAGGTACAGATCTGAATTATTAAGGGCTAAGATGGGAAAACACCCTGCTCCACTAGGAAATGCAAACTGCCGGTCTCGTTGGTCCCCTGCACAAAGCGGGTCTGTTCTGGGGCATCCAGCTGTCTGGGCCCCTGCCAGCACCACGGTGTCCCCGGGGGGCAGGTCGCCGGTGCCACGGGAACGGGGTGTGTGGGCACAGATGCCCCAGAGCCGGGGTGAGGCCAGGGCCCGGCCGCAGAGGCTGCTGGGAGATCCTGACGATGCCAGCAAAGCGGCTGCCGAGGACGGCCCTGCTCTCGGGAGCCCCAGGGTGACTGTGCCAGCTTGGGACATGGTGGGCACCAACAGCGAGGTGGGGGCCAGACCGCTGCAGCCGGGCCCAGGGGAAGAGTACAGGTACTGCGGATAGGCTCTGGGGACGTAGGGACGCTTAAAGTCCCCGCTGGCTGTAAGACAAGGACAATTACAGGGCTGACATAGGCAAAACCCTACAAGGTGCTGTCCGGGCCTGGGCCAGGCTTGTAGGTTCTGGAGGCCTCAGGTTCAATCCTCAGCACAAGAAGCACAAACAGCACAAACAAAAAACAGAAACCAAAAAGCAGCCCTCCCCCAACAACAAATAAAACCCCCAAGCCCTATGGGTTTCCAAGTTGACAGTCTTTCTTTTTACTTAGCCTCAGGGAGAACACTTTCTTCTCATATTGTGCCAGTAGCTACAATGCCAGCTTTTGACTTGAGATAGAACCTTATTTAAAAACCTTATAGCAATTCCTTTTGTTTAAAGGTTAACTTGTGGCATGTGAATTATTCTCAATAAAGACTCATGTTTTATATTTATTTTTTGGTACCAGGGATTGAACTCAGGACCTTGTGCTGTGAGGCAGGTGACAGACACTTAGCGAAATCCCTGGCTCAATTTCTTTTTTTGTGAAGTGTTTTAGAAATTGGGAACAGAAGTTGAATTTTGTCAAATGCACTCATGGAGAAAAAAACCAAGTGATGGTTTTCTCCCCTTTTTTGGTGAAGGTTGCTAATCTATTTTTAATACTAAAGCATTTCTATTTTTTTTTTTGTTTGGTTTTTTTGAGATAGGGTCTTACTATGTTGTTGAAACTGACCTGGGAACTCATTATGTAGCCTAGGCTGGTCTCGAACTCACAGTGATCCTCCTGCCTCAGCCTCCCAAGTGCTGGGATTACAGTTGTGAGCCACCATGCCTGGTTTAAAATGCAGGATATTTTTGTCTTACCTGACTGATAATATATTACTTGCTTCACAAAAGCATGCCAAGGGCTGGGGATTTAGCTCAGGGGTTCTGTTGCCTGCCTTGCAAGCTCAAGGTCCTGAGTTCAATCCCCGGAACCAAAACAAAATAGAAGCACGCCCGAAGCTTTCCCTCTGCTTCACTGTAGAAAGACAGGCCGGACACTCAGGTCTTACATTTTTCCTAATCTCTTAGTGCACTGTGCTGTCAAAGGCCCCTGGGCTGCTGCCTTTGCAGACAGATATTCATTTTTTATTTTATTCTTTTTCTGGTACTGGGAATTGAACTCAGGACCTTGTACTTGTCAGGCACATGAGGGGGCCGCTGAGCTACATCCCAGCCCTTGTTACAATTATTTATGTATCTATTTAGTTTTAAATTCTCTTTAGGGTTTGAGGAGCCTCCATTAACTCTTTTCTGCCCCTGGGTCTGTTCCTCCAGACGCTGTCTCATGTGGAGAAGCTCTGTGGCTCCCAGGAAGCCGCGTCTCTCTCCCTCTGCTCCTTCCCAGACTGCTCTGGGATTACTGGTCAATATCCAGGCCACAGATAAGTCTTGAGTGTCTGCAAACTAGCGTTTCCGTCTCTGTCTCCCGGTCTCTTTTTGGATTCCAGTTGCGATCAGAAATGACAGACAGACAGCTCCCGAGGCCGTCAGCTTAAACAGGAAGTCACACACCCCACAGGAAGTGCAAAGCAGTCCTCAGTCTGCCGAGCTCACCCACACGGCCACCGCCCCATGCAGAACACTGATGCAAACAGATTCCCTGTTCTGGCCCAGCAACTGTTTTAAACCAACCTCAGAAAATTGTTTTGAAAATCACTGAGGAAGCAATATAGACAAATAATTCTGTGCGGCCTTACCCCAGTAGCTTGGTGAGTGGGGCTGCTCACTATGGGACTGTCTTCTGCTCCCCACGCCACAGGCGTGGGTTCTTGGGGAGCAGGGAGCTCCAGACTGTCAGACGAAGTGTCCACCCTCACCAGCAGTTCATCTAGCAGTCTGGAGAACTCATCTAGGTGATGACTCTGAGGAGGACAAACGCAGACTGGTGAATGCATTTCGGGACACCATTTTCTCTCCCCTCATGAACTGAAGCACTGAGGGCCGCCCAGGGTTAGCAGGGCCCTGCTACATTAGAGGTGTGCTGGGCCGGGACGGCCTCACACATCATCCTGTGCCTGCACCCTGGTCCTGCGCGCCCTGGTGCCTGCGGGCCAGTGCCCTGTCAAGGGTGGCCATGTCCACCCAATGAGACAGGAAGCGCTCATGGACTAGAGGCCCCACACAAGTGCCCACGGTCATGAGTGCACGCACAGGGCAGGCTTTGGGGCACACAGCACGGGGGATGGGGTCCGACCTAACTCAAATGGGGGGCCCCAGGCTTGGGTAGAAGAGTTTGCATCTGGTACCAAAACAGATGGCTCAGCCTAAAGGTGTGTGTGTGTGTGTGTGTGTCCAGGGAAGAGCAGAAATCCCATCTTTGTAGCCATGCAAGGCCACTGCCAGGGTGTAGTGACCGAGGAGGGGAATGTGACTGGTGACCCTCAAAGTGCTTCAGAAGTGCAAGGCAAGGGTCTCCCAGCTCCACCCAGGCGGAGAACGGAGTCTGCAGTGGCTGTGGTTCTCAGCTCAGGGCTCCAGGGAGCACAGCCCTGCAGCCAGGGAACAGCTGACTCAACTCGACTCCAGGGCCCAGGCGGACATAATCTGCAGCTGCCTCGGTCTCCCCGGGTGTCAGCATCTCCAGCCCCAGGTAGGCCAGCACCTTCCAGCAAGCAAGCGTGGTGACATCTGTCAGCCTCACCAGCGGTGTGATGCAAGAAGATTTGCTCTTCTAGAAACAAGTCAGGACAGAAACTCTCAGCTGGAGAAGAGAATAAAATAAGCAACTGCGTCAGCAAGGTAAAGCCAATTTTGTTAATTTGATAAAGCAGGAAATGGAGATTATGTCTGATGACACTATTTTATGAAGTTTTGGTAAAACAACAAGAACAACACAACTAGGAAAGTGTCAGTAAGGAATGAAATTAAATGGCAGCCGGCAGTGGGAGGCAGTCCTGTCCTAAGAGATATTTGGCCTCTGAGCGAGCACTCAAAAGCCTCTGGGTGGGCCAGGGATTTAGCTCAGTGGAACCTTGTCTGCTTTGCAAGTGCAAGGTCCTGAGTATGATTCCCGATACAAAAAAAAAAAAAAAAAAAGAAGCTGTGGGTTCCAAACTCAAATTTTCACACATCCAGTGATCTTAAAAGTAACCCAAACAAGCAGATAAATGGGTGGATGTGTGGGTGGAAGGATGGAGAGGTAATGAAGTGGCTGGATGGGTGGATGGAGAAATGGTAGCTTAGGTGGCTGGGTCGAGTGGCTAAACTGCTAGATGGAGGAAAGGACGGAAGGATGGCTATGCAGACGAGTGGATGGGTGGCAGGGAGCAGCGAGTTAGGAGCGGCTGAAGAAGCAAAGAATTTGGGCCTGTGTGTGGCCGAGGTGTAAATATATGTAGCTCCTTCTAGTTTTGCGCTACTACACGAGAATTTTAAAGACTGCAAAGAATTCAAGTCACTTGTGAAACTCAACTACCAACTCCTTTCACAGGTACTGGGCTCTGCGTGGATCAGGAAGCAGATGCGGCCAGAGCCCACAGGGAGACAAGAGCTGACCGCAGGGGCACTGTGCAGGGTGAAGTGTGTCCAGGGCCTGGGGACCAGCTGGGTGCGGGAAGCCTGGTTTGCTGGGTGCAGGTCGCCAGGAGGCAGTAAAGTGGGCACCCACACCTCACCCAGCTGCAGACTGAGCAGGATCCCCCAGGAAAGAGGTCCCCAAAGCAGCGGGAGGCGAGGGCAGGGCGAGGGGTGTGCCCAGTGAGATCGAAAACACGGAGAGTGTTTAGACTTTAAAAATATATTGCTGGGGAAGACACACTGCTGTGAATTCCTCTCAAAACCCTCCCCGCCCATTGAACACCCGCGTCCCTCTTCCTGCCATGCTGCAGCAGCTCTGGAGTCCTCTTTCCTGAGTGTCTTTAGTTGTGCTGTCCTGGCTGCCTCAGTGTCCTCAATTGATCCAACATGCTTCCCTTTCATAGTCACTCGACTTTTTGGAAGAGGCAGAAGTTGCCCAAGGCCAGATCTGGCGGATAAGGCTGACCAGGACACAGCCGCCTTTCTGTGGGAGGGCGCTCAGCAGCAGCAGTCACTGTATATTTGATCACACGTTGTAAACATCCTCAGGAAAGAGGACTCCAGAGCTGTTTCAGAAAGTGGCCAGAACAGTGGGATATGCGTGTTTGAAGGGAGGAGGGTATCTTGAGGGGGATTCGTGGCAATGTGTGTTTTACCATAATTAAAAAAAAGTTTAAACGTTCACTGCATATTCTGATCACACCTCGTAGATCAGCACAGAGTGAGACCCAACCAGGCTTCCTGGAGTAGGCGGCACCTGGTGGCACTGTCTGGCTGGACTCTGGTCAGCTAAGGGGCCATCCCAGCACTTGTGTCCAGCGCCTGCCCACGGCAGGACGGAGCGCTTTTCGAGCGACTGGACAGCAAGTGGCTCTGTCCCGGCCTGACCCACAGTCTACCAAGTGCACGCACCGTTCCCAGACACAGCGCGGCCGCCATTGCCCAGAGGGCCCCGCAGCACCCAGCCACGGCTCGCGGGCAGGACGAGGAAAGGCTTGGGGCCAAGTCCTCCCAGCTTCTCCTGGGAAACCTCAGCAGCAGCAGCCTGGAGCCTGAGTGTGCAAAGGTGCGGGGTGGCAGCGCCCAGGCTGTGCTCAGAAGGTGGTGCAGGTGTGTGTGAGCGGCCACCAGCAGGGCCCCCACCAGCTGCAAGAGAGAGAAAAGCCGAGAGCCTGAGCTCCTGCCCCCAAGTGAACATCACATCTGTCCCAGCACCCAGGGAGGCTGAGGCAAGAGCATCTTGACTTCTAGTCCATTTCTAGGCTTGTTCGATCTCATGTGTGGACGGTGCCTCCCCACCAGGGGTCTTCAAGCTGCAGTGACAGCCACGTGTCATGTCCCTGCAGTCCCCTGGTGGCCCCCACTTATCCCTTAGAGACATCCCTGTCCTTCCCCTGAGGTCATCTGAGTATCATTTACTCTGGGGGTGGACTCGAGCCTCCGTGGAACTTCGGATAAACTGGGCACAATCCGTGGCCCTCATGGCAGCAGGTCCAGAGGAGTGGCCCTGGGGATCCCTCCCCTCTTCTGGGCACCCACACTCCCTGTCCCGATTCTGGTTTTCCTCCAGGGTTCCATGGATGTCGTGCGACTGCACTAGGGATTAAACAGCAGCACAGTGAGTTCCGTGTGTGAGCAGGAAGCCACTGGTGGCAGCCGAGTTGCCTTAACCAAGGGCAAGAGAACGGAGCCAGCTCGAGCTTCGTCCTCCTCGCGGCCTGGTCCTCTGGGGAGAAGTGGGTACAACTGAGAGGCCCATCGGCCTTCCGGGCACCCGGGACGCGCTGCAGGCTAGAGCACCGCTCCATCGGCGGTGACAGCACGCTTCATAAATCCAGACCGGTTCAGTAGGGAGCCCTGAGATCAGTGCCCGCGTGTGGCGTGGAGGATCCTTACCGCTGGGGCAGAGACGCTGGAGACCGAGCCCCGCGTCCGCATCCGCATCCAGGGACAGTAGGACACCGCCACTCGAAGAAGGCCAGGGACGGCCACACACCTCAGGGTCCAGGGGAACGAAAGCAGTGCCTGGAGCCACCGCACCCTCTGCGACAGTAGGACAGAGGGTCATAGTGCCAGTGAAGCGCCCGACCCCACACCAAGCCGCCAGGCCTCTCACCTAGCTCCACAGCGCCATCCTGCGGAGGTCTAGGGGCCTGCGGCAGGGGCCTGTGCGGAGCTGCTCAGCGACATCCCAGCGAGGAGGCGGAGAAGGCCACGCCAGCCAACCGCGGGCAGCTGTGACACAGGAGAGACAGCTGCCAGGCGCCTGGGAAGGGACCGACCCAGAACAGGAGACCCTAGAACTGTCTGGGCCTCGGCGCTGCACAGGGAGGACCTGCCAGCATGGGAGTTGCTGTGGCTGCACAGTATTTTTTCTTTTCAGATAGAAACATTATTTCCCCAGTACAAGGGATTGAACCTGGGACCTTTGCAATGAGCTCCATCCAGGTCCCTTCTTATTGTTTATTTTGAGAAGCGTCTTGCTATGTCACTAAGTTGTCCAGACCGGACTCCATAATTTGCTATCCTCCTGCCTCAGCCTCCCAGACTGCTGGGATGACAAGCTACATCACTGTGCCTTGCTGTTCGTATTTTGTTTTTAAACAAAGAAAATGGCCACAGGATCCTATCTCCAGCCAGTTTTGGGGTTTCCGCCAATAGTTGAGGGGGCCCACCTCAGCCATGGAGTAGAGCTGCAGACCGAGGTGAGCCAGGTTGAGGATCAGGAAGGCCAACTACAGGGAGAATTTCACACAAACTGCTTCCTGCCAGTCACCCGGCCGACACTGCACAGCCACTTCTCGCTCCGCAGGGTTTGATAATAAACTCACCCTTCCCTGGCACCTGGGCAGGGTGGTCCTGCTCACCTGTGACCACCCCACGCTGGGTGGGGGCCTCCCACGGGCCCCGCTGGAACTCAGGCCCTTACACTAAGCAACGTCCCCAGGCCCTTTTTATTTCTTACTTTGACACACGGTCTTGTTGGGTCGCCGGGAATTGAGATGAAGAGACCACTCAGAAGCGGTGGTACCGATGACCCATAAATATATAAAAAAGTGTGGCTTCTCAGGCCACCGGAGAAAGGCAAACTGAAACAGCACTGAGATTCCACCTCCCTCCAGAAAGAACGGCCATCACCAAGAAACCAGCAATGACACGCTGGCCAGACTGTGGGCAGAGGGAGGGGGAGGAGCCCTTCACACTGTTATTGGAAGTGCAAGTGTGTACCACTCCTGAAATCAGTGTGGACGTTCCTCAGAAAATGAAACCTAGCCATTCCCCTTCTAGGTAGTCTCCTGAGTTAAAGACGTGATATCACAGTGATCCATGAACAACCATGTGTATAGCAGCACAACTCACAACAGCTAGATCTTGGAAGCAGCTTGTGTGCCCATCAACAGATGAATGGATAAAGAAAGTGTGGTGTCTGCTCACAGTGGAGTACTACTCTGCAATGAAGAAGGATAGGCTTGAGTCATCTGTAGGAAATGGATGTGCCTCAGGACCATAATATTGAGTAAAGTCATTCTGACACTCGTGCTTGAGTATTTCATGGTTTCTCCTACTAAACGTAGATAATTAAAAAGCAAACTAAGACAAATAATAACAGGAAACAAGGAGCTAGATTTTATGTAAGGGGGCCCAAGCGATGGAGGAGGGCAGAGGGAAGAGAGGGGACGGCAAAGGAATCCAGACATGCACTGTCCCACTGCAGCTCCCCATGACGGATGTCACTGCTGTGGACTGCAAACATGAACTGAGAAAAATAAAATTTTGAGAGTAAAAATGTAAAAAAAGCTGCGATTTTTTAAAAGCTCCCGCATCATGAGGCTCCGCAGTGGCCTGAGCCAGTCCAGGCCCCACCGCTCCAGAGCCTCCGCCCACGCAGCGCTGAAGGGGTTTTGTGTGGACCTGGAGCTCCAAACTCACTGCCCTCGACTGAGCACCGAGCAGCCACCGTGCTCTTCCGGGAGAAGGGCTGGGGAAGCAGGGCCCGGGCCCTGGTCCGTCTGCAGACGGGGCCTCACATGCAGGGACCCAGGGGCTGGGGGTACGGGGTGGCCCTGAACTGCAGGCCTTGCGCCCTGACACGGAAAGGCCCAGAGCCCAGGATCCCCTCATCCTCACCCACAAAAGGGCCACACGAGGACTCTGAGAGGGCGACCGGGTCTGTGGGGGGCCGGTGTCACCCAAACCCGCCTTCCTGGCACCTTGACCTTGGACCTTCAGCCCCCGGCACTGCGCCAGACAAATGCCATCGTCGAGGCCGCCAGCCTGTGCGCAGCTGCCCGTCCCACTCCTACAGGGCTGACCGTGAGGACCAAGTGCGACCCAAACACCCTCTGCCCCCCCCACCTCAGCTTCCTGGCTCCCCCTGCCCCTCATCTACCCTGGAGAGGCACAGGGGTCTTAGAGGCCATTGCCCTGAGCTAGAGCAGAAGTGAGTAGCGAGAAGGCCTTTCACCTTTTACGTCCCCACCCCTAGGGGTAAAGTTACTGCATTGATCGGTTTATTCATTACAAACGTATTTTGGGCTAGTCTCTGATTTTATTTTAATTCACACGGTTAAAGGTGATAGATTAATAACTACCACAGATTGTCATTTTCTAAGCTGTGCTTGACTCTCTTGTTGTTGCTGGCTTTATCACTTGGGCTAGTGTTGTGACTGATCTAATCAGGTATCTTTCCTGGTATAATGAAAATGAGATTGCCCCAGTTATTAGAGACTCAAATCCTAAAGACCAGCTATATCTGGAAGACACCTCTGAGAAGCAATCATTGCTTAAGGTTTCTAAACACAAGCAACAAGGATACAATAAGTAATATCGAAGTATCAACCCAGGAATTGACCCAAGGAGTATACCAACAACAATAACAGAGATGAAAAGACATTTAAAAGAGACAGTCTTCCAGCTTACCAAAGGCAAATTCTGGGCAAAGCCAAATGGAAAAGTCTGATAATAAACTACCTGGACAATCTGAACTGATCACACAGGAAGTAAACAAACAAGCAAACAAAGAAAAAACAGGTGAATGAATCTCTAGAAATATTCAAAACAAATAATTTCCCAGATAAAAGACATGATTAGAGATTCTAGAAAAGAAACGGATTAAAAAAAAATAGATGAGTTCAGGACCATGATGGAAGCCACAAATGCTCAGCACAGGAAAGAAATGGAAACCATGAAGGCCCAACGTAAGAAACAGATTCAGACTGATATCCAGGAGATTGAAAACTCTATTAAAAGCATACATAGCAGACTGACCCAATCTGAAGACAGAATATCAGATATAGAAGACAGGATGTTGGTCAGTGACCATGAAAAGAGAGATCGCTTAAAAATAGTAAGGGACCATGAGAAATCAACCCAACAGCTCCTAGATGATGCAAAGAAGAATAATATAAGATTAATAGGTGTCCACAAAAAAGCTGGAGAAAGCACAAATGACACAAAAAAAACTGTTCACAAGCATAGCCAAGACAACCCACAATGAGGGAAAAATTTTTTACCAGCTGTTCCTCAGACAAAGGTCTACTATCTAGAATATATAAAGAACTCAAAAAATCATACCCCTGAAATATAAAGACCCAATTCACAAAATGGCATCTGAAATGAACAGACTTTTCTCAGATAAAGAAGTAAAAGCAGCAAATAAACATATGAAAAAATGTTCAATGTCACTGATCATTCGAGAAATGCAGATGAAAACAACACTGAGATTCCACCTCACCCCACAAAGAATGGCTGCTATCAAGAAATCAACCGATAACAAATGTTGGCAGGGTTGTGGGGAGATAGGAACCCTTCTCCATTGTTGGTGGGAGTGCAGACTGCTGCAGCCACTGTGAAAATCAATATGGAGATACTTCAAAGAACTAGGATTAAGAGGTTCCCTTTGACCCAGCTATTCTTCTGTTGGGTATCTTCCCAAAAGAATTAAAAGAATCACACCACAGTGATATATGCACACCCATGTTTATAGCAGCACAGTTTGTAATAGCTAAAACTTGGAAACAGCCCAATTGTCCATCAGTTGGAGACTGGATAAAGAAGATGTGGTTTTTCTATAAAATGAAATACTACTCAGCCATAAAGAATGAGAAGTTAGAGTCCATTCATAGGAAAATGGATGCATATTGAGGTCATACTCTTAAGCGAGACAAATAAGTCACACATGTGCAAATATCAAGCAATTTCTCTGGTGTGAAAAACTAAAAGCATAAATAAGGGTCAAAATGTATAATTGATGCAATAGGAAGAAAAGGTCTAAAGGAGTAGAAGTGGGAGGGGTAGGAGAAAGGTAAGAAGGGAAAAGAAAAAAATATGTGAAAAGGAAAAACATGGAAACAGTGTCTTTGTAAACAGGGAAGGGTGGAGGGGGTGAGGGGAGTGGGCTGGGAATAGGGAAAAATAAGAACCAAGATTCATCATGTCAAGGTACAAGATCCCAGTGATGAATGTAATTGTATTATATGCCTAAAATGTACCAATAAACTTAATAAAGAAAAATAAATAAATAAGGCAAGAGGTTACAAGCTGGGAGTGCTGGCGCACACCATGATCCCAGCACTCAGGGAGGCTGAGGCAGAATGATCCCCAGTTTGAGATCAGCCTGGGCAACTTAGGCACTCAGCAAGACCCTGTCTCAAAATTTAAAAATAAAAAAAAGCTGGGCCTCTAGCTCCATGCAAAAGCCCTGGATTCAATTCCCAGTCCTGCCACCCAAAACAAACAAACCAACAAACCAAAACAAAACCAAAAAACAATTACAGCAATAACTGGAATGAAATGGAACAATCATAAGCATGTGCTGGAATAAAGTCATTTAAAACTGTGTGGACTATGTGTTTCCAGAATTTCCCATCTGGTATTTGTGGACCACAGGCAATTGCAGAAAAGTGAAGCCAGAGAAGGGGCGTGGCCGGGCTTCACGATGCAGCCTGCACCCAGGATGACCCAGTCGCCAGCCCGGCTCCCGGGGGTTGTCTGGCGCCCGGTGCTGTGTGGGGCCCTGATCCTCCCGCGTGCCCAGGACTCACCTCAGGAAGCACTCGGTAGTAGCCGGATTCGGCCCTGAAGACCCTGAAAGATTCCACTTGGGCGGCGGGCAGCAGGAGGGCGTGCAGGGTCACGCTGGCGAAGAGCTGGGTGGGTAGGTGGTAGAGTGCTAGGTGCACGGACCCCGCCGTCCAGCCACCGGCCTGCAGGGCGCTCAGCACCGCCTGGGCCTCCAATCTGTGGGGAGCCGGGACTCAGGAGGAGAGGCTGTGGAGGCTGTGGAGGCTGTGGGGGCTGAGAACCCCACGCAGCCTGGAGGACATGGATGTGAGCCCCGGCCTGGACGGGACGGGGTGTCCTCTGTCTCCGGGGGACTGCGCTGGCCCTGGCCCGGGCCCTGCGGCAGCTGGGGAACCCGGGGCAGCCTGGGCCGGGACAGCATCCCTTCCTGTGGCTAAGGGGCACAGCTGCCCTGCTGCCCGGAGTCCATGGAGTTCTGCTCCTGAGGGACGGGGCGTCATCCTAGGGCGAGGGGTGCTCTGGCGGACAGAACGGGATGAGACAAGATGGGATGGAACGGGAGAGGAGTGGACAGGAGAGGCCAGGCCACGTGGGACAATGCCGGAGCTGTGTGTTACACTCTGGGACCCTGCTCTCAGCGGCACAGGATGGCACCAGGCCCCCTCTGGAGTTGGGGGACACAGAGGCAGGCACAGGACAGATGTCTGCTCCCTGTGTGACCTCAGCTGCTGTGCAGGGCTGAAGGCTAGGCCCGTGCTGGCTGCCCTGCCCCAAAGTGCATGATGCTATCACTTCACAGCCACCGTGTGTCCTGCCAGCCCAGCTGTGACCTGTCCCCTCCCGGGCCTGCTGCACAAGGCCACGTCCCCGGGCTAGTGGGCCCAGGGGGAGAGCACAGTCCGGCCACACAGACCTGGTCCTGCCTGGGGCCGAGCAGGCAGCCCCCGGGGCCACTGTGGCTCAGATTCCAGGCCTCAGGGGATCCAACTTCAGGGCTCCACAAAGGAAGCCGGTCTTCCAGGGCCACTGGAGGCAGCCCAGCAGGCTGCAGAGGAAACCAGCCGTCAGGGGGAGCCAGGCGCCACCCTGAATCCTGAGCGGGTTCTGGGCTCTGGAGCCAGGGAAGGAGCCCGGCCACCCCAGGGCCCAGGCAGGGACACAGGTGCGGCCATGGGGCACTGTGGATGGTGTCTAGGTTTTCAGCCCACACACCCTGCTTTCTCTGGGATCCCCAGCGAGCGGGCAAAGCCACAGAGAGAGAGGCACGGCCCAGCCAGGGACAGGAGCTTGTATGGGGGGAAAATGCTTGGCTGCTGCCTGCCCCAGCCTGGCACCCCTCAATCTCAAATGGTTCCCCATCCTCTAAGAAGCTAAAGTGACCTGCGGGTTTCCTGCCCCACTCTCTCCCGGATGTTCCTAATTTATTTCACCACCAGCATGGCAGTGAAAGCCTGTGATCCCAACATTGGGGAGGCTGAGGCAGGAAGATTACTGAGAGTTCAAAACCAGGCCGAGCTACACAGTGAGGCCCTGCTTCCAAGAGAGACAACGTGTACCTTGTGTAAACTGCCAGGGGAGACCTGCGGCTGATCACCCAAGCTCCTAGCAGGTAGCATTTTCCTCCTAGAGCTCCAGGCTGTGAAAAGAGATCAGCACAGGCTGTGGGTGTCACACCCTCAGCACGGCAGGCAGCAGTGTGGCCAGCGGGGTGACCAGCCAGGCAGGGGATGGGGTTCACTCACCTGAGCCCCGGCACTCCAGCCGCCGAGGGCCACCCCGCATGCAGCCCATCCAGCAGCGGGCTCTGACTGCGGTCGCCCTGGTCTCTGGTGCCCGGTGAGCGCCTGGCACTGCTTCAGGCAAACCCAAACCAAAAGCTGTTTCTGCTGCCCCAGCACAGCAACAGGGGCAGCCAAGAATTTCCCAGCCGGTTCCTCTCATTCAGACTTCAAGGGCTTCGCAAGAATTAAACCAAACCCACCTGCAGAGGGAGGCACAAGCCTCGGAATTCATATCGCTCCACAACCATAGGAGAGAAGGGAAAAGTGGGGGAGGGAGAAAGCAGTTGTTTTTTTGCTCACTCATTCAATCAACAAACACTAGGTGCAACAACCAGAGCTCCAGGCACAGGGAAATAGAGCCAAGACTTTAGCTTCATTGGGTGAAAGCTGACTCCTCCTGGCCCTGTTCACCATCAGCACAGTGACTCCCGGAGCTCTTCCCTCCCCTGTGAGGCAGCTGTGTGCAGGTGCTGTCACCCGGTGCAGGTTCTCAGTACGTTGGCAGCGGCGAGGCCACACTGGGATGCTGGCTAGGTGGCCTACATTTTTTTGGTACTGGGCATTGAACCCAGGGCCTCTACACTGAGCTATACCTCATTTTATGTTTTACTTTGAGCCTGGAACTTGCCAAGTTGCCCAGGCTGGGCTCCAACCACAACCCTCCTGCCTCAGCCTCCCAGAGCACTGGGATCACAGTCACACACTACCATGCCTGGCTCTCAACTCGTTTGACTCAGGCTGGCTTCACTTTGTGATGGGCTGATTGGACCGTGACAAATGGAGGGACAAACACAGCAGTACAACGTGGACCAGAGGTGGAAATGAATGGCAGCTAGAGGCTGGGTAGGTCTCGCCTGGTGGCTGTGAGGGCTCAGCACACAATGACAGGAGAACAAGGGCCCTGTGCGGTCATCAGAGGGCTGTGTCTAGCAGAGGGGCCCAAGGGGACCCAAATCACACTGATGGCAGTGCACTCAGGGACACACACACACACGCACGCACATGAGTGGGTCTGGTGCTGATTCCTCTGGCCCCTCCTTGCTGGAAAGGGGGCAGAATGAGTCTTGGGGGAAGCAATTTGGTTGGAAGCCCACTTGAAGAAGCTAGAAAAGGATACGAACTGGAGCCAGCCAAGGACAGTGATTCTCTGCCACAAGTCCAGGCTGCCCTGAAGAACAGGCTGGAGGTGGTGGTCATGGCTTTGGCAGGTGTGACCGGGGCGAAGCTGGTGTCACCGAGTGCCTAGACCCCCCCCCCATAGCTCCCAGGAGCTGGCTGGATGGCGGGGGTAGAGCAGTCCATGGAGGCTGTGACCCAGAAGGGGTTTTTTCCTCCCAGTTCCCCTCCTCTCTTTCTGCTTCCTATGGGCCATGACGTGAGCAGCTCTCCTCCGCCAGGCCCCTCTTCAATGCCCTTCCTGCCTAGGAGCTGGCTGTCTATGGATTCAAAATGTGAGCCAGAATAAACCTCTCCCCCTTCAGGTTGTGGGCACTGGGTACCATGCCCTGTAATGAGAAACCACACAGGTGACCTACAGGGGTCCATGCCCAGGCTGCCTCGCCCCGGCCGGAGAGCTATCATGTGCATCTCCCCCAACTCTGTGTGCAGAGGGCTCGCGCAGGGGACAGGAAACTAGCCAGGGGCAGAGCGTGTGCCCCAGCACAATCAGCAGGCACTTGCTGCACATCAGAGCCACTGCCCCTAAGAGGGGATGGGACACGAGCCGCTCCCAGCACACCCGGTCTCAGGCCAGGCTGTGGGGTGGCTCTCACACTAGTGATTAGGGCAGCTTTTGGAGATGACATAGAAAAGGTGTCTAGCCCTTTAGGGACATCCCAGTGCTCTGGGAGGCTGAGACAGGAGGATCACAAGTTCTAGCACAGCCTGGGCAACTTAGCAAGATCCTGTCTCCAAATAAAAAATAAAAAAGGGCTGGGCATGTAGCTCAGTGTGAAGGCCCAGGGTCCCATCCCCAGTACAGCAAAGCAGCACCTTTCTTGGCATAACAAAAATTGGACAACATAGGAGGAAAAGAAATCAAGGACAAAGACAGGTCATGGTGTACAGGCTCAAGGACACAGGCGCAGCAGCCAGCGATGCATACTACAAATGTATTCCAAAAACGTCCGCGGCGCCAGGGAACGAATGGGAGTCTAGTGAGGTGGTCTATCTGACTGGTTTGGTTTCCGTTTCCTGCAGACAGCTTTTCTCCTGTGTATTCAAGAATGTGGTTTCCATAGGTTCCATATTTTTAGCACCTCATCTGTGCATGATGACCTGCCGGGAAGACTGGTTTCACATTTATTGCTCAATGTACCCCACATCATGTATTTAAAAAAAAGAAAGTGGTGTGTATATTTCAGCCACACCAAGGTTGCACAATCGTGTGTGAGTGTGTGTGTGTGATGCCGGGATGGGACCCAGGGCTCCAAGCACACCAGGCCGAGCCCCTTCCCACCTGCATCTGCCCAGGGATGCTCGCACTTCTGGAAATGACAATAGAGCAACCAAGGGCCCGGTGTGACCTGGAGCCGAAGCATCCCAGCCCAGGGCACCCAGCTCCTGCCCTTTCCCGCCTCCCTGGAGTCCAGGCGGTAGAGGAGGAGGATTCGGCAGCCCAGCCGTCTGCACCAACGACAGAGCCACACAGCACAGGCCCAAGGCGCGCTAAGCCGGCAGGGGACAAAAATGAGCTGCTGTTTTCCATGTACGCCGCCTAGGCGAGGGGCCCCTTCGTACCGGGCTCCATCTGATGGCTTCTTTGGGTTTTGTTGTACTCAGAACTTTGCGGAGATGTTACTGAGTTCAGAAACGCTTCAAGCACAACTCGAACAAGGATCCAGGAACAGGACAACCTTCAGGGTGGATGCAGAAATCCAGTAGCCCAACTCTGGGCTCTGTGGATAAAGGTTCCACAGCTCAGAGCCAGATGGTCCCCGCCTCCTGGGAACCCGACAGCTGGAGCCGGGTCGAACGCCCCTGCAGGACGCACTGAGCTCCCTTCCCTGGAACGCTACAAATGAAGGCCCTCGGGAGTGGCTGGTGTTTCAGGGTTAGGAGCTGGGGTGTGGTGAGGGGCCATGAGGGTCCACTTTAAATTCCCATGAGGAATCGGGACACATAAACACTCTCTAGCCAGGCACTGTAGAGCACGCCTGTCATCCTAGCACTCTGGGAGGCTGAGGCAGGAGGACCACGAACTGGAGCTTAGCCTGGACAAAGCCACTTAGTGAGATTCCACTTCAGATGTTTCAAAAGGGCTGGGGATGCAGCTCAGTGCAAAGGCTCCGAGTTCAATCCCCAGTGCCGCAAAAACAGAACGTTTCTGATTCGAATGTCAAGAGGCAACTATTCCTAGGAGAAACATGTCACCTCATGCTAGGAAACGTGAGCTATCGCCACCATCACCATCATCACCACCCTCCTCATCTGGCTAAGTAAGCCAGCACGGCTCCAGGCTTGGGGTTCCTAATTGTCTCTGTCTTGTTCACAGCGCCACCTACTGGCGCGATCCGGGCAGGGCTGGGGCGGAAGGGTTCAGAACCGGTTGGACTGGGAGGAAGGCGAACCTGCTCGCGAGGAAGGGAAAGAACCGGTGCTTCCGCACTTGCAGAGGCCGGGATCTCAGAAATCGGTGTGGGTTATTGCCTAGGTGAGTCCGGATTCCCTGAGCGGGGACTTCCGGGTCTTACCTGCGGAGCGAGGCACAGACTAACCCGACTAGGAGAGGACCTTCGCTAGACGTGGTCTGGATGGAGGTCACCCATTCAACCCTCTCGCAGAAGGCGGAAAGGAAAGGTCCTTAAATAATAGATGAAATTAAATGGATTTTCCAGCTGCCCACCCCCAAGGAAAAAAACAACAAAATTGTTTACACCCAACTGAATGACTTTGCCTATGGCAGCGCACGCGCAGAAACGCTCCAGAAATAGGCTTTTAAAAATTCTCTAGAGAAAGACAGCGTAAAACCCCGGAACACACAGAATTATTTCACTTTTTGGCTCTGAGACCACAGTGAATGACTGACGTCAGTCCTACTGTGATCTCCGGAATTCAAGGCCAAGCTGCCCTGAATCAGCAGGCTTTTTTCAGTGGTAAACAAAGGCTGACCGTGAATTTAAAGATTACTTTCAATGAGAAAGGGTGGAAATATCAGAGACATGAAGACGGGGAAAGGAAACAGCACAGAGGACACCACCCTGCTCGCCTCTGCCCTGGGTGGCAGGGGATTTTCCTGCTGCAGTTTTGGGTTCTATGTCTTCCTGCATAAAACTCTACTGCATTTAAGGAAGGAAGAAACAAACAAGTGCCTGCAAGTTGGCAGGGCTCTGGGGAGCAGGGCGGCAGGCTGACTCTGGGGTCCTCTGTCGGGAACCTCGGCCCTGCCTCTGGGACTCTCACGTTTCCTGGAGAAAGGAGTCTGTGAGACCCTGCTTTGGCCCAGGTCCTCCAGCCCGGGGGTATCGTTGTTTCACTGTTTACCCAAAGTAAGATGCCAGGGCCTTTGCACTGAGCTACATCCCCAGCCCTTTTTATACTTTATTTTCATTTTTATTTTGAGACAAATTCTAAATCCATACTTTGCACAGGCTGAATTTAAACCCATGATCCTCCTGCCTCAGCCTCCCAGAGTGCTGGGATAACAGGTGTGCACCACCACACCGAGCTGAAGCCTCCCATTAACTCTGGGAAGATGGCGTCCACCAAGTCACTGTGACAGCGTTTCCAGATTTCAGGCACGGGATGTGGCAGAGGCTCCCTCGGGGCCCCTCAGGCCTGGGTGAATGCACCCCTGGAGGGAACGAGAGGGTCTGTGGGGTCCCCACTTGAGGATCAGATTAATGTCTGGCTGAGTCAGGAGCGCCGCACCTATCTCTCCTCAGAAAACTCCAAGGCCTATTAGGGCTGGGATAATCCGCCCTCTCAGGTGTGTACAGATCTGACTTTAGATAAACTGTTCCTCTCAAAAACCTCTAATGTTCTGACTCCATTTGTCTCAGCCCCTAAAGCATACAATCCAAAAATTAACGTGTGGCCAATAAGGATGTGCCAAATATCCCGACTCCACCCTGGCTCCACCCCCACCTTACCCTATATAAGCCTGTGCATTTGCTGAATAAAGTGGAAGCGATCCAGAAACCTCCCCAGAGTCTGCGTGGTGACTCTGCACCTTGCCCTCCCAGTCCAGGCTCCCTGAACCCTGTTCCGGGAATGGCTCACAGAACAAAAACCAGACCCAATGACAAGGAAGGGATGTGGAGGTCACCAGGGAAAGCTGCCCTCCCGCATCCTGCTTCCCTTGGGTCATCCTGGCCCTGAACGCTGGGAGTCTGCAGATCTGGAGGGGCCCCAGCTCCCCTACCTCAGCCACTCCTCCCGGATGGCCCGATTGAGAGAGTGCTTGTCCGCGGAGAAGGCGCCGTCCGCCAGCCACAGGAGCAGGAGCAGCGTCAGGCCGTGCACGGCGACATCGCTGTGTAGAGAGGGCAGCTTCCGCACCCTTGGCACACACACAGGTCTGTGACGGAACCAACTCCCACACCCAGAGGGACCCTGGGACTCGGTACGGGGCGTCTGAGGCTCATTCCTTTCTGTTTTCTTCTTGACATCCAGTGAGCTGCCACCACTTTGGGAAAAGTCTATCCTTTCTCCATTGAATCCTCTTGGTTGTGAAAACCACTGTGTGTATTTGCCTGGGTCTCTTTCCCCGCTCTCTCTTCTGTCCGCCTGATCTTTGGGTCTATGCTGTCCACAGAATCTCCCATTCTTGGTTTCCACAGCTGTATACTTCATCTGAAGGTTGATGCGTCGGTTCTCCAATTTTGCTCTTTTCTTACAATTCTTTTGAGCCAGGCGTGGTAGCACACACACCTGTAATCCCAGCACTTGGAAGGCTGAGGCAGGAGGATTGCTGTGATTTCAAGGCCAGCCTGGGCTGCACAGTGAGTTCCAGACCAGCCTGAACTACACAGTGTCTCAAAACCACCACCACCACCACCACAACAGAACCCAGCATTGTTTTGGCTTTTCTAGGTCCTTTGTTTTCCATAGACATTTTCAAATTGCTTTGTTAACACCTATTTTTAAAAGTGTGCAGGGATTTGGCTGTGACTGCACTGAGTCCACATTTACAGTGGAAAGATGCGTTTAACATGAGTTCCCCAACTGACGCACACAGCACATCTCTCCATTTATTTAGATTGTCTGCCATTTCTTCCATTAGCATTTTGTGGGCTTCCACAGATAGATTCTGCATGTTTCTTTACATTTATACCTATGGACTTTGCTTTCTTGGTGCTATGGTAAGTGGTATTTTTAAACTTCAATTATTATTTATTGCTGGTATGAGGAACAGAGTTTATTGGACTTGTAACCTGCAAAGGAGCTAAATTCACTTCACAGTTATGAGAGCCTTTTTGCAGATCATTTGGAATTTTCTGCATAGACATTCATGTCACCCGCCACCAGATAGTTGTATTTCTTCCCTTCAAATCTGTATTCTTTGTATTCATTTTTCTTGCTGATCGCACTGGGCAGGGCTTGCATTTTCATTTTTGTTTGTTTGTTTGGTACCAGGGATCAAACTCAGGACCCTGTGCTTGTGAGGCAGGCAGCAGCACTGAGCTAAATCCCTGGCCAAGGTGTAGGGTTTTAAAGGATGCTGTCTCTGGTGCAGGGAGCTCTATTTCTCTATTTCTGGCTTGCCAAGTTTTGAAGTTTCCTTTCTTTGGGAATGAATGCTGGATTTCATCAGCTGTGTTTTGTGTGTCTGAGCTAATCTAGATTTCCAATAGGCGCGCCAGTGTGGTAAGTCGCAGTAACCACCTTTGGCTCCTGCCTGTCTGTCTCTCCCGATGGACCCACCAGTGCTCTGCTCTTTGTCAGCAGGCTGCTGCGTTGTGCTACAGATTTCTCCATCTTTTCTTTGAGACAGGGTCTCACTATGTAGTTGAGACTAACCTGGAACACACTATGTAGCCCAGGCTGGTCTGAACTCACAGTGATCTTCCTGCCTCAGCCTCCCGAGTGCTGCAATTACAGGCACGCGCCACCACACCTGGCTGGATTTCTCCATCTTGATTCCTCCCGGTGCCATTTAATTTGTTTTTACTGGACGGGGAAAGTTGCCCCAAATAACAGAAACCGCCATGGGGGCACAGCCGACCATCGGGGACAGGCACTCTACCTCCCACATTTCTCTTTAAGTGAAGCCTAAGTGCACCTACTGCCTTCATTGTATTCTGGTGTTTCGCTTGATGAACACTGAGGTTTCAGTCTTTTCATCGACTTTCATTTCTGTGCCCAGAGGACGTTGGCTTTTGCGTTTGGACTTTACAGACTGCCGTTTTACTAAGTTGTCTTGTTGCCTATAGCAGTGCCCTTGTTGCTGTGAGGTTTCCTGACTGTCAGCTGTGTCACAGCCCACAGCACTGGCTCAGCTGCTCCCCACCCTGCTGTTTCTGTGATCCCCAGCCTGGGGAGCTCTGAGCTTCCCGTTCCCGGGGTGCCAGGCACCTAGGGCTCCTCTGCTGGGGTTTGTCCCCACTTATGTGCTCTGGGGGAGCGGGGACAACACATCGCCTGGCTCCAGGACCCCATTTCCGGTGAGTTTTGCTTGCTGCAGGGAAGGGGTTCAGGGAAGAGGCTGGGGCTTCTACTCCATGCCCCGCAGTGCTGGCTCAGGGAGCAGCAGCAATTCTCAAAGCCTGGACAGCGCACCAGAAACCTGCAGCCCAGAGTCCGGGAGCCAGGGAAATGCTTCGGCTCACACTCAGCTCCACAGGGGAGGCTGCCTGGTGGCCAGGGCTGGGGCAGAAACACCCACGGTCTGTGTGTATACTCTGTGTACACAGCTCCTGCGGGCTCCTGTGACTCCCAGGTTTTGTGCTTTACTTTGCGTGAAGAAACCTGAAGTGATTCAGCAGGCTTTGAGCTTTGCCTGACCTTGTACACCGGGGCCTTGTAACACTGTATTATTTTAGGATCCTTGCCATGGGGCCAAACCAGTGCTCCTGGCAGAGGCACCTCCCTCACCACGTGGCTGAGTGCAGAGGGAGGACTCCAGGCGGAGGGTAAGCTGCCAGTCAGTTCTTCCTCATGGGCAAGTTGCAGGATCAAAAATTTTTTTTCTTTTTGGTACTTGGGATTGAAACCAGGCCCTTCGCACTGAGCTGCATCCCTGGACTCTTTTTACTTTTTATTTTGAGACAAGGTCTTGAGAAGTAACTAAATTGCTGGGCTGGGCTCAAACTTGTGATCCTTCTGCCTCAGCCTCCCAGAGTACGGGCGTTATGGACATGCACCGCCATGCCCAGTTTGGAACCATGTTTCCCGTCCCACTTCCGGTCCTGCATCCCACAGGCTGGACGGGGTGACGTGTGGAGAAGAGCCCTCTGCGCCCCAATCCCCAGCAATCCTAGTGATCGCTGGACCCAGTGGACCCAGCGCCCACCGCACCTACCTCAGGGCTGCCTGTGCGCGGCGCTCTCTCCTCGTCCTCCGCAGGGTGACCCTGAGCTGGGCCCTGGACGGCGGCTGTGCCCTGCGAAGGTGGCGCTCTCGCTGCCGGGCAGCCAGGACCTGTGGGGAGAGAGCCTTGAATCCAGGGTGCCGCGCAGAGGCCCGGCTCCGGCCACACCAGGACGCCACTGTACTGGGAGACAGAAAGGGACAGAGGGGGACAGAAGGGAGAGGGAGACAGAGGGGACAGGGGGACAGAGAGGGTCGGGGGAAAGAGGGGACAGGGGGACAGAAGGTGACAGAAGGGAGAGGAGGACAGAGGGGAACGGGGCTGGGGGAGCTCTGGGTGGAGAACACGCCCTGAGCACTATCTGCGCATGCGCGGCACAGGCAGGCGCTACAGCCGTGCTGCCTTGGGCAGCCGACACCTCCACTTCTGAGGAAGGCAGGCGGAGTTATCTTAGACATTTGCATAGGTTTTTCTCTGGAGAATTTAAAAGTCTGTCTGGAAAGCCACTTTAAAGTACAATACAGTCTTAGCAAGAAATGACTCGGTTCTGTGTTTTAGGCATCACTGTGCACACATCTATAATGTGGGAGGCTGAGGCAGGAGCATCACAAGTTGACCGCCACCCTGGGGCAACTTAATAACTTCGCAAGACCTTGTGTCAGAATAAAATAAAAAGACTGAGGATGTAGCTCAGTGCAAAAGGTCCTGGGTTCAATCCCAGTAATAAAAAACAAAAAGCATTGTGCGTTCCTACAGCATTAGTCCATGTTCAGGGCAGAGCAGCGGTCAGACACAAACCCATCAAAAATAGCCATTTATGTGTTTGCCACACATTCGGGAGCAAGCCTGGGGTCGGGCCTGGGCGGTCAAGACGGAAGGGGTGGGGAGGAAGCAATGAGCTCTGGAGTCCACCACAAAGCACAGCCAGGAGTTTTTCATTTGTTTCAATATTTTAAAACATGCTTTCTTAAAAAACTTTTTGGAGAACCACGCCTGCTCCCGACCCAGCCGCCATCGCTCAAGCACCGGGAAGGAAGCCGCGTGGGCGCCCCTGAACCCCCATACCCCCCCCCCGCACTCTCAGACCTTCTGACTGTGCCAGTCTTTGGACCCACTTTGCAGAGGCAGAGGTGGTCATCAAGGGTATTTTTCTG